TGTGAGCGATAAGGATGCCAGATTCACTAGCGAACTGTGACAAAGTACAACCCTACAAATGGTCACCCGACTGCAAATGACATGAAGGAACCACCCTGAGTCAGATGGGTAGGCTGAGCAGATGAACCGGGTATTGCAGCAGTTGCTTCGACATTGTATTAAGCCAAGTCAAGATGACTGGAATGAGAAAATACCTCTCATCGCCAGCGTGTACAACAATGCTATGCACAGCACTACCGGTAGGACACCCAACCGGCTACATCTTTGTTGGAAGGCCAGATTTGCTCTTGACTTCCTTGTTGCCTGAAAACCAGCCAGCTGCAGCACCTGGTAGAGTATGAACAAATGCTACAGCAGGCTGGAGAGCATATCAAGAAAGCTAAAGACGTCATGGTTGCACCGGAGAACAGACACAAACGACTGTCTCAATCTGTCTGTAGTTCAGGTAGGTGAACGATTCTCGGTAAAGTCATATGAGTTTGGACAGGAGTTGGGAATCTCACGTAAATTGATGACACAGTACTTTGGACCTTGGGTTATTCTGGACATAGTAGGAGATCAACTCGATGGCCCATCATACGTTATTCGCAACCCTGGTCACCTCCACACACATCCTGTTTTCCATGCATCCAATTTGGCCCCTTTCACTGTAACAGAACAGTTTGCCTCCAGGTGATCAATGATGCCCCCAACCATGGACCGTCACAGACACGTGGACATTGACGACATGGGTAATCGCTCTAGCCCCTCCCTTGCTTGCCTACTATGCGCTCACCTTGAATTCCGCTTTCTCAATTCGCTAGGGAACGATCGCCGTTTGGTGGCCGGATTTAGGCTAGTAGACGATGTCGCGCTATTCCTGGTCCTCCCTAACTCTTCTCAGCATGTCCTGGAACGAACCAGGTACATTTTTTCAAAGTTTTGTCTCATCTACAATCAGAGTTTCACCTTAGTCAGAACTGACGACCGCCAAGGGGGTTTTGAATTTCTAGGATGCAAGGTGATCTCTCAAGTGAAACCACCCGCAGTCCGCTGCGAGGCCCTCATGAAGAATCAGCAAGACGTCTGGGACAAAGAGGAGATCACTTTTCTGTCTACGCAAGACTACTGGTCGTACGGACCAAAGGTGCAGAAGATCGGAGTTGTCAAATGCCATCTTAGCCGGATCTTGGCCCACTCCTCCGATTCCAGAGGAGTGGGGCCAATGCTTGTTGTCTTTGAGGCGCGAACTCCGACTGAAACGTTTTCCCCGTGGATGTTTTTGAAAGCTCTGGCTAATTTCAAAGAAACAAACGGGGGGTGCTGGGAAGTCTGGGTCAATTTCTTCAGACAAGGGTTAGACATACGCGGTAAGTAGTATCCGGGCATATCGACTACCGGACCCTGCACAGACAATTCCTCGCGGCATCCCTCTAGGTCCATACTCTCTCAAACTCGTCTCGACACTCGTCGTCTTCGTCCCCCTGACGTCGTCTTCTTCTGGTGACAATGGGCGGTAGGCGTGACGTGCCACTCGACTCTCCTTCTGACCACATCTTCTTCTGTTTCTTCCCGCGCCATCCTGTCCAGCGCATATCTTACCCCTGCCTGCTGAACAGTGACCCCACTTTCCAATGCCCTCGTATCCCTCGACTCTGCGACCTCGTCGGCAGAAGTTCCTCCACTCTGCTCTGAACATTGTTCCCGCTTCTTCACTATTCCCGCCTTACTACCTGTTCCCTCCCAATGTCATTACAGCCGCGACACGAGAAGAAAGTAAGTATGAGGTTTGGAAACACAGGAAGGATATTCACCACGATGGTAAGGGTAGTACTTAAGCAACCACGGCGACGTAACTCGCAAGCGCAATCATGCCCTGTGGATGGCCATTGCGGCGTAGTGGCCGAAACATGTCGGGAGTAACGCCGCCCTTGCTCCAAGTTATTTCCATGTTATATTTTTGTGAAGCGAGGTTCATGTTCCACTATTTGCGAGTCGGGTTTCTCTCCCCGTGATTCCAATCTCTCTCTCTCTCTCTCTCTCTCTCTCTCTCTCTCTCTCTCTCTCTC